CTTGTCTGACAACAAACATGGCCAGCTTGTCTGACAACAAACATGGCCAGCTTGTCTGACAACAAACATGGCCAGCTTGTCTGACAACAAACATGGACAGCTTGTCTGACAACAAACATGGACAGCTTGTCTGACAACAAACATGGCCAGCTTGTCTGACAACAAACATGGCCAGCTTGTCTGGCAACAAACATTGCCAGCTTGTCTGGCAACAAACATGGCCAGCTTGTCTGACAACAAACATGGACAGCTTGTCTGACAACAAACATGGCCAGCTTGTCTGACAACAAACATGGCCAGCTTGTCTGACAACAAACATGGCCAGCTTGTCTGACAACAACATGGACAGCTTGTCTGAGAGCAAACATGGCCAGCTTGTCTGATAACAAACATGGCCAGTTTGTCTGACAACAAACATGGCCAGCTTGTCTGGCAACAAACATGGCCAGCTTGTCTGGCAACAAACATGGCCAACTTGTCTGACAACAAACATGGCCAGCTTGTCTTGCAACAAACATGGCCAGCTTGTCTGACAACAAACATGGCCAGCTTGTCTGGCAACAAACATGGCCAGCTTGTCTGGCAACAAACATGGCTAGCTTGTCTGACAACAAACATGGCCAGGTTGTCTCACAACAAACATGGCCAGCTTGTCTTGCAACAAGCCTGGCCAGCTTGTCTGGCAACAAACATGGACAGCTTGTCTGACAACAAACACTATACAGCTTGTCTGGCAACAAACATGGCCAGCTTGTCTGGCAACAAACATGGCCAGCTTGTCTGGCAACAAACATGGCCAGCTTGTCTGACAACAAACATGGCCAGCTTGTCTGGCAACAAACATGGCCAGCTTGTCTGGCAACAAACATGGCCAGCTTGTCTGACAACAAACATGGACAGCTTGTCTGACAACAAACATGGCCAGCTTGTCTGACAACAAACATGGCCAGCTTGTCTGGCAACAAACATGGCCAGCTTGTCTGACAACAAATATGGCCAGCTTGTCTGACAACAACATGGACAGCTTGTCTGACAGCAAACATGGCCAGCTTGTCTGATAACAAACATGGCCAGTTTGTCTGACAACAAACATGGCCAGCTTGTCTGGAAACAAACATGGCCAGCTTGTCTGGCAACAAACATGGCCAACTTGTCTGACAACAAACATGGCCAGCTTGTCTTGCAACAAACATGGCCAGCTTGTCTGACAACAAACATGGCCAGCTTGTCTGGCAACAAACATGGCCAGCTTGTCTGGCAACAAACATGGCCAGCTTGTCTGACAACAAACATGGCCAGGTTGTCTCACAACAAACATGGCCAGCTTGTCTTGCAACAAGCATGGCCAGCTTCTCTGGCAACAAACATGGACAGCTTGTCTGACAGCAAACATGGACAGCTTGTCTGGCGACAAACATGGCCAGCTTGTCTGGCAACAAACATGGCCAGCTTGTCTGGCAACAAACATGGCCATCTTGTCTGGCAACAAACATGGCCAGCTTGTCTGACAACAAACATGGCCAGCTTGTCTGGCAACAAACATGGCTAGCTTGTCTGGCAACAAACATGGGCAGCTCGTCTGACAACAAACCCGGCCAGCTTGTCTGACAACAAACATGGCCAGCTTGTCTGACAACAAACATGGCCAGCTTGTCTGACAACAAACATGGCCAGCTTGTCTGACAACAAACATGGCCAGCTTGTCTGACAACAAACCTGGCCAGCTTGTCTGGCAACAACCATGGCCAGCTTGTCTGGCAACAACCGTGGCCATCTTCTCTGGCAACAACCATGGCCAGCTTTTCTGGCAACAACCGTGGCCAGCTTGTCTGGCAACAACCATGGCCAGCTTGTCTGGCAACAACCGTGGCCAGCGTGTCTGGCAACAAACATGGCCAGCTTGTCTGGCAACAACCGTGGCCAACTTGTCTGGCAACAAACATGGCCAGCTTGACTGGCAACAAACATGGACAGCTTGTCTGACAACAAACATGGCCAGCTTGCCTGACAACAAACATGGTCAGCTTGTCTGACAACAAACATGGCCAGCTTGTCTGACAACAAACATGGCCAGGTTGTCTGACAACAAACATGGCCAGCTTGTCTGACAACAAACATGGACAGCTTGTCTGACAACAAACATGGCCAGCTTGTCTGACAACAAACATGGCCAGTTTGTCTGACAACAAACATGGCCAGCTTGTCTGACAACAAACATGGCCAGCTTGTCTGACAACAAACATGGCCAGCTTGTCTGACAACAAACATGGCCAGCTTGTCTGACAAACTTGGCTAGCTTGTCTGGCAACAAACATGGCCAGCTTGTCTGACAACAAACATGGACAGCTGTCTTGGAGATTTTTGTAAACAGACAACAACTTACCATTAAAACAAAGGTTTAGCTGACGCAGGTATCTCAAATAAAAGTGCAGAGCTTCCCATTGATCAAAAATTGTATTGATAACTCCCAGACGAGGTAAACCGAGTCTCAATCATGGCAGGAACTTATAACTCATCTAGGAACATAAGGAACACTGCAGCAGGCCTACTGGCCCATGTGAGGCAGGGCCAAGTCTCCCACCGCCTAATAACCCAACCAGCTTTGAATGATATCTGCAAATACTACACTAAAGGGATGTATATAGGGGTAAATGCTGGCATTTAACGTACCAGAAAATGAAGATTTAGACACATGTACAACATCTGGGTATCTTTATTTAGACGTTTCGCCATCCATTGGCTTTTTCAATGCAGATTCTAGGTCACTTGATGGCGAAACGTCTACAATAAAGATACCCAGATGTTGCACGTGTGTCTAAGTCTTAATCTTGTCCGTATTGTACACCAGAAAATGTTCAGAAGTGATTAGGTCAGGGAAGTGCCGGTCTGTACAGGAATGTAGGTACAGAACTTCCAACAAGAGGTGCGCGAAGCCTCTCTGCAGCTCAGCGAATGTTGTGACCTTAGCTGTCTAGACAGCCACGTAAAAGTGACCTTAGCTGTCTAGACAGACACGTGAAAGTGACCTTAGCTGTCCAGACAGCCACGTAAAAGTGACCTTAGCTCTCTAGACAGCCACGTAAAAGTGACCTTAGCTCTCTAGACAGACACATGAAAGTGACCTTAGCTGTCCAGACAGCCACGTGAAAGTGACCTTAGCTGTCCAGACAGCCACGTAAAAGTGACCTTAGCTGTCCAGACAACCACGTAAAAGTATTCTTAGCTGCCCAGACAGCCACGTAACAGTGTTCTTAGCTGTCCAGACAGTCACGTAAAAATGACTTTAGCTGCCCAGACAGCCACGTGAAATGACTTTAGATGTCCAGAAACGAACAAAACACCTGAAAAAAAGGTGCAAACAGGATGTACAGAGGTAAGCAAGTGAGACAAACCAAGCAAGTCATACGTTCATCAAGGTCAAACGTACAACAAACAAGTGTACAATCAATACTGGAGACAGCAGCGATATGCACACCCAGGGGACATACAAGGTAGACGTTACCAGTGGTACAAACAAAACACACACACCAAACCTGAACATCTCAATTGGTAAATCTACTTCGTTTTTGCAAACATTGTCATGCTTGTTGCATTTATAGAACCACACACAAGGGAAGCTTAGACGGTGAGATAACGATAAAAAAACAATGAAATGCATAGATATGAGAGTTAAAAGGTTACAGGGAGGCGGATGACTATATTAAAGATACCTCCTGTTGCACAGAACTGCTGAATTCATCGAATAATACGGTAGAAGTTGTAGGTATTAAAGTAGAAATCAGGAATTTTGGTAATTATCCTCGTATATAAACCACCTTCAGCAACGGCTAAGAAATTCACGGATCAGAAAAGGGAGACAGAAAACTGTTTTGAAAGGCTTGAAAACCCGCAGCTTCTGAAGGAAGCTGCGGCAGGTGACAGACCCGCACTGCTCTACTCTGAGAAAATTTCCCCTCTTGCAGTTGCTGCCTTGCAACATTGCATAGCTCCTGATGACGCACTGACATGTGTGAAAGTACTTGAGCTAAAGATTTCCATTTTCATATATAATATATATATATATATATATATATATATATATATATATATATATATATATATATATATATATATATATGTATATAATAAGCCTATCCTAGTTAACCTACACAGAAAAAGTGTTAAAGAGCTGTTAAACACTAACAACTAAATATGTAAATGACCACCACCATGAAAATCTGTTTAGTCTGCAGAAAGGGTAACAGACGAAGTCATGCCTGGAGTACATGCAATCTCTGTGGTAAATGGTCCCATGGGTCATGCAGGAACTTGAAACCAGTGACTGGAGGACAGTGCTTCTGAGGATGCTAGTGTTGTTCTAGAGGACAGTGCTTCTGAGGATGTTAGTGTTTTCCTGGAAGACAGTGCTCCTGAGGGTGCTATTGTTGTCCTGGAGGACAGTGCTCCTGAGGGTGCTAGTGTTGTCCTGGAAGACAGTGCTCCTGAGGGTGCTAGTGTTGTCCTGGAGGACAGTGCTCCTGAGGATGCTAGTGTTGTCCTGGAAGCCAGTACTCCTGAGGGTGCTAGTGTTGTCCTGGAAGACAGTGCTCCTGAGGATACTAGTGTTGTCCGGGAAGACAGTGCTCCTGAGGTTGCTAGTGTTGTCCTGGAGGACAGTGCTCCTGAGGATGCTAGTGTTGTCCTGGAAGACAGTGCTCCTGAGGGTGCTAGTGTTGTCCTGGAGAACAGTGCTCCTGAGGATGCTAGTGTTGTCCTGGAAGCCAGTGCTCCTGAAGGTGCTAGTGTTGTCCTGGAAGACAGTTCTCCTGAGGGTGCTAGTGTTGTCCTGGAAGACAGTGCTCCTGAGGGTGCTTGTGTTGTCCTGGAAGGCAGTGCTCATGAGGGTGCTAGTGTTGGTCATGGAAGACAGTGCCCTGAGGGTGCTAGTGTTGTCTAGAGACAGTGGTTCTGAGGGCTGCTAGTGTTCCATTGCTGTCGTTGTCCTGGAGACAGTGAACAATATGGAGATAGTGGCCCTGGCGATGGAAAACAGGTAAGTCGAGTTATTCTAGTTACAGTCATACTACTGAAGGTGGAACAGAAGGGGTATGATGACTCAGGAGATTGGTTGACTACATTTCCAGCAAAAAACTGGGTGGAAGCACTGTTGTACATAGAGGGGCGGTAGGTAGTGTCGGAAATCAGAAAAAAATACACCAACAGCGACCGCAAGTCACAAAAGAAAAATCCTTAGCTAACAAAATTCCAGTCTATGCAAAATTCTATGTCCCGGGGTATCTGCTACGTCTCGGGTATATCCTGTAAAACAGGGGGATATGCACACTTATTATAATAGCATCTAAATAAAAGATGCAGCACCGCAAACAAGACAACATGAGGGTGCAAACTACTTTCTGAAATAATTTCACCCTCGTAATCCAACGAAGAAAATGCATACAAGTATACTGCCAGACAATTCATCAAACGGGGACAGAAGACACAGACCGCCAGAAACTTTGGGAAAACGAAAAAGGGGAGCTACCTTACAGAGAAGGAGTTTTTCTAGTGCCAGGAAGAATATAAGACTGGCACTTTGAAAACAAGTTGTGGTGAACACAGGGGTATGAGGAAACTCGTCTAGCTCCGGGTTACGCACATAATACGTATTATCTGGGGTCTGGTTCAGTGGTAATGTAATGTGTGCTCTGAATTACAGAGTTTGCAGGTTCGAGATCCTGCAGTGGGAGTAAAGACAATGTTTTATATATATATATTTTTATTTTTATATATATTATATATATATATCTTTATATATTATTATAAATTTCTATATTTATATATTTATATATATTTTGTGGTGTGTGCGTAATGTGTGCTATATTTGTGCGTAACCTAATTTTGCTTACTTGTTGTCTTTCTTTTTTAGAAATTAAAAATAATGTTATTTTTCACTAACACTTGAATTAGTTTCTTTAAAAATTACAGTTATATAATGTGTCTAACTGTTGATTATCGGTGGGTATAATTCTTGGAGTGCGGGAGACCTGATGGCCTCAACCTGCTGGCCACCTGCTGGCCACCTGCTTGCACCTGCTGATGCTGGTGCAAACACCTTAATTTTCCTGCGTATGTCTGTTGTGAAATTATGTCACAGAGAGAGAGAGAGAGATGATGAGATCGAGACGCGAGAGTGAGTGAGAGAGATGAGATGAGAGAGAGAGAGATCCAGACTGAGAGAGAGAGGGGGGGAGAGAGAGACTGAGAGAGAGAGAGAGAGAGAGAGAGAGAGAGGAAAGAGAGAGAGACGAGAGAGAGAGAGTAGATGGACGAGAGAGAGAGAGAGATGAGAGACGATAGAGAGGAGGAGAGAGAGAGATGACGGGAGAGAGTGGAGAGAGAAGAGAGAGAGAGTGAGGGACTTTGATGACCTTCTTGAGTGTTTGACTGAGAAACTTTGTTGATTTCCCTACTCATATCTCTGGCTCCTCCTTGACTCAGTATCGGAGGATCTGGCAGGAAGGCTAGTCACTTGGTCAACCCCTCGGGCTAAGTTGGATCGTCCTGACCACCAGGCTCGTTTTTTTACCACGATAAGATCAAACGAAACGAGGTGAGGAGTCCACACGCATATTGGTATGGGAAAGAGGTAACTGGCCAGCCCTTTGCTCTGAGCTCGCCACCACCGACTGGAATGCTAATTCTCAGGGGATTGTTGAAACCATGTGAAAAGCCTTCACTGGACACCATCTTAATCTGCCAACAAGAAAACATTCTACCGGGAAATATGTGACAAAGCCTACAGATCAGCCTTGGCTTTTGGCTTTTCGTTGTAGGTGAGGTGCTCTGCTAAGTACAAAGCTTGGCGAAGGTATAAGAGACATCCTAACCACCTATAACAGGAACTTCTTCAATGACCTTGATGAAATGGATTACATAGTGTCATGAGTAAGTTTGCTGTGAATCAAAGATAGGCCGTTTTAATTCACTCTGAGGAGGATTTCAATGAAATCCAGGACTATTTGTACAAATTAATGTCCTTGGTCTGAGAAAGAAAATGGCAGTTGAAGTTTAATGTGGATAAGTGTAAGGTACTTGCTTTGGATAATGAAAATAACCTCGAAGCTATAATCTAAGTGAAGTAGGCTTGGTCATACAGATGTGTAAAAGGACTTGGGGATGTCGTGGTAGCAGAAAATCTGAAGCAAGACAGCAGGCCTCGTGTTGGCGCAACAAGGCCAACAGATTACTTGGATTTATCTCAGAAGTACTAAGTTAACAGAAGTCCAAAAGTATTTTGCAGCTCTATACATCCACTAGTGAGGCCTCTTTTGGATTATGCTGCTTTCAGTTTTGGTCCCCTTACTACAGGGAGGGGCATAGACTCATTAGAGGAAAACATACAGAGAAGAAATAACAAATGATTTACTCGTGTAAGGAACCTCCCGTATGGAGATTGGACTTTAAAGCCTTAAATCACACTTCTCTGGAGAGGAGTTAGAATGAGGGGAGATATCATTGAAGTGTTTGGTGACGTGTATTACTCTGTGAAGACCTGTTTGCGTGCTGTTTGAGTGGGGACCTGTACTTTGAGTGCTGACCTGTACTTAACTCTGTGAATGAAGTGTCTTGTTTGACTAGTGGACATGAACCAAGATGCCTCCACTCGAGCTACTTACAAGACAAACTTAAGGAAGAATTGAGGCAGCGAGATGGAGATCGGCGATCTGACCGAAGAAAACAAGAGGATTCGTAGTAGTCCTCCTGTTTCGAGTCAATCTGGTCAATGAGGGATACGTGGTCGCAGTGGTTTGGACAGCAGGGACAGACGCATGTTGACGATCAAGAGACGAATGGGAAAGCCAGAAACGATGAAGAAGTGAAGAGACTGCTGTGGTAACTTCCCGTGGAAAGCCTCCAACGCATTCTCGGTGTACACGAGAATGTTTGTCTATAATCTACGTGGGATCCGTGTCGCCCAACGTAACTACGAGAACGCAACAAGGAGTAAGAATATTGTTGTTGTTGGGGATTGCCAGGTTAAGGTAATACATGGATAGGGCATTCTGCTTGAAGGACAGGTGTAGGAGACAAAGGTTATGCTGTCCATGGGGTGGGGTTGGAGGACATTGTTAGCGGCTTGACAACATCATGAACGGTATGGGTTCTCAATCCTATATTTGCCTCAGTGATGGAGGCAATGATGTTGGCAAGCGTTAGAAGTGAGGGATTTAGTTAGAAAGTTCTGGAAGTATAGACATGATTTAGGAAAGAAGGGGGGGTGACATGTTATATGTGGCTTTTTGCCAAGAGAGGTGTTGGTAATGAATGGTGTGTCCAGGAGCAATTGTATTAATTGGTTGGCTGGATAAACACTGTAAGGGATAATTGCAGTACCATTCATTGACAACTGGGAAATTCTATGCGAAATGACATGTATGAAAGGTATGGGGTTCACAATGTTCCAGGGCAGGTGTGGGGTTTCTTGCTAATCAGTTGTGGGGTGTTTGTTAGGACTTGAAAACTAGGATTTAGTTAGAGGAATGGGTTTTTGAGGAAACACTGTGAAGTCGCAGGGTATAGTTAATTTGGTGTACTAGGAGAACTGGAATGCAATTAATGAGGTGGATATAGGAAGCCCAGTGGCACATAATTGACAAGGACAGTAAGAGGTTTAGTGGATTATTGGAAAAAGCGGTATGGGTAAGAGAGAGGAGGGTCATTAATAAGTTTTTGTACACAAATAGTCGCAGTGCTAGGAATAGATGGGCGAGTTGGAGCTAGTTGCTAGTGCAGGTAACATAGATGTATTTGCCATTACTGAGACGTGGTTTAATTCAAAAAGTCGGGGGACATGCTGAAGATTGTCCATTCAGGGTTTTAAATTGTTCCAAGTAGATAGAAGTATCGGGAAGGGGGGTGGGGTGGCATTGTATGTCCGAGACGCTTGATTCGGTTGCATAAAAAACAGGTATTAAGGTCTGGTGAAGTAACAAATCTGAGTCTTTTTGATAGAATTTTCAGAGGGGCAATGAAAATTAAATTTTTGGTGTGATATACCGTCCCCCATAATTTAGATTAGGGGACCAAGGGAGTCTACTATGGGAGAAATTGTTTAGGGCCACAAGGCACGGATAATTAGTAATTCTAGGAGACTTTAACTTTAGTCATATTGATTGGAATTTCATGACTGGGGAATTTAGTATCATACGATTTCTTTGAGTAGTTCAAGGGATTGTTTTTTGATGCAGTTTGTGACAGATCCTACAAGGGGAAAATTACTGCTTGACCTTAGTTTCTGGCAAACAATGGAATCCCTTTTTAATATAATTTTAGAAGTTTCAGAGGAACTGGGTGTTGCGACCACAAATCAATTACATTTAGAATTGAATGGAAGTATGATAGTAAGGGAAGTCTAACTCAGTAACAGTCCCAGATTTTCGCTTGCTCAGATTACGATGGTCTTAGTGAAACACCTTATCATCTGTGATGGGGTAACGAGAGAGCTTTCAATATATGACAGTTTTCTGAACACAATACATGCTGCTCAAAGACGTTTTTCCCTTGATAAGGAAATTAGATCAAATAGAAATGACCTAAATGGCATGAATATAGGCTCAAATATCTCTAGGGCTTAAGATAGGAATTTATCAGGGTATCAAAAGAGGCGTAGGGTCCAATCTTATGAATCTGTATATTGACATTAAGAGGGACATTAAAAAGGGATAAGAAAAGCTCTAAAAAGGGACTATGAAATTAATGTTGCGGGGGGATTCTATAACTAATCCAAAAAGTTTTTTCAAGGTATTAGAACAAAAGTCAGAGATAAAGATGGTCCCTTAAAATAACTATGGGCATCTTACTGACAAAGAGAATGAAATGTGCTCGCCCATTTTAAATAAATTATTTTCTCTCGGTTTTTTTACACAGGAAGGACACTAATAATATCCCCCGGTAATAAATGTTATCGAGGATCAGAAGAAGATAGATAAAATATGTAACACTCAGTCATAGTGGAAATGAGTTGTGAAGCAGATAGACGACGAAAGCAAAATAAAGTTCAAGGGTCCTGATGAGGTTTTTTCAAGGGTTCTTAAGGAATGGCAAAATGGAAGTCTGTGAACCATACCAACCACAAAAAAATTTATCTCTTTCAAACAGGTGTAGTGTCTGATATGGGGAAGATGGGCTAATGTAATTCTATTTTTTATAAAAAGGGGACAAGTCGTTACGTCTAAATTACGCCCAATTAAGCCTGACCTCAATTGTTGGCCAAGTTGCTAGAGTCAATTAATAGATGGAAAATAATGGTATAAAATCCGACACAATGGGCTATATAAACACATATGCAGTTTAATGTGATCCTTTATTGATACGTTTCGCCCACACAGTGGGCTTTTTCAAGTCTCATCTCATATCTAGAGAAACTACCTGGAGGCATCTGAACAGACGCACCGCCCGAAATCATTCACGCAGCATGATGTTACCACAGCGCTATATTGTTCAAAAGAAGAATCAGACTTACTCAGGAAATACAAACACTCTGACGATAATAGTAATTGGAATAGTTTAGGAAGACCTGATAATTATTCAAATTCTTTCATATCGTCCCACTGTAACCATCGCATTAGAATACATTGGAAAGGACCTGCAGTTAGGCCTTCAATTCCACTGCTCAACCAGTGAATACGATAAACCCAATAACCCCAGAGAAGACCTCAATTTCATCACGCAAAAACTTACTGACCACTCAATGGACTTTCCGACTCCAAAAAGGCTATCTTCAAGGCCATCATACTCAGATCCAGTCTCAACACGCAGTCAACAGTCATACCTCTGTACGTTACATTCTATGCACTCAAAGGTTTAGCGGAAGACTCGAACCATCAGGGTCACTCCGACTGATAAAGGACGGTGGTGTTGTTATCATGAACATGACGATTACAGGATCAAAATGCTCAATCTACTTTATGACCAGATACCTACAACCTCTCACAAACTAACCAGTGGACAACCTTACTAAAACTTTTCTTCAAAGGACTCGTCCTGGCATTACCGGCATTATGAGGGGCTCTAGAAACAAGGGAAGAAACGTCTACACACCGTGCCCAGCAAACCCCAGACCTGTTGTTATGGCTAAGACACATATGCAACAGTTAGCAACTTTATTCCGAAACGTTTCGCTACCGTAGGTTTCTTCATCGAATAAGAAATGCAGGAACAGTAGAGTGTGAAGACGATGTAATCAGTCCTCACCCCTTTAAAAACGTGAATTTGAGGTTGTCAGTCCCTCGGCTGGGGAAGTTCAGTTCCCTAGTCAGGAACTTTGAAGTTTAAACGACAGTGCGGAGACTTAATTGTCGGAAGGGGGGGTGCAGGGTAGTGTAGTAGTAGTAGGAGAGGCAAATGAAGGTCATGCCCTCTCAGATCCCAACCCCTTTTCACTTGAAAGCTTGTCCAAGGTGTTTTTGTACCCAAAAATGCCATGTTGCAGAACTGTTGTCGACACTGCAAAAGTGGCATTTGTACGAAAACACCTTTGGCAAGTTTTCAAGTGAGAAGGGTTGGATCTGGAGGGACATGACCCCTCGTTGCCTCTCACTATACTTCTACTACTACCCTGCACCTCCCTTCCGACAGATTTTAAATTCCGCACTGTCGCTTGATCTTCAGATAGTTCTGACTATGGAAATGAAATTCTCCGGCGAGGGATGAAACCTCAAATTTTACGTTTAAGGGGGAGGACTGATTTAAACGTCTTCAACTCTATGTTCCTGCCCACTTTTTGTATTCGACTGAAAAAGCCTACGGGTAGGCAAAGTTTCGGAATAAAGTTGTCTAATGTTGCATTGTGTTTACCTAAAAAATGTGGTATTGTATCCCTTTTTATGTTAACCCCGACTGCCAGAATGTACGGCCTGCCAAGACTCACAAGCCCGGATCCCATGGGGCCCATATCCCGGGGAAAAGGGGTGCTCCCCACCAGCTCTCAGGGAAATTTTCGCCAAACACCTCTCTAACTCTTGGGCCTATCAGTCCAGCACATCTCAAAATAGGAGATCTTTCAAGCATTCGCAACATCAACATCGGAACAAGAAATTTTCAGCCTTTACGGATTCCCCATTCACCAAAGACCCATACACAAGCCCTAAACTCTTGCGCAGGAAAAATTGACGATTCACTTGATCTTCCCCTTCCCGCCAGCGACTTTATGACTTGTTGAACTAGTGTTGCTTTAGTGTTTCTCTTTCGAAAACACCCTTTAGCAGACTTTTGGATACCCCGGGTTCGCCATCAGTGCGTCTGGGAACCTAACATGGACTCTAGAGCCCAACGTTTTTTCCCCCATTATTCTTCGTCGTACTGGCTCCCTTATGTTGAGAATTTCCCCATAATCCTAAAAGCTTTAAAGTTCAAGCTCTCAAGACAAGCTCAACCAGGCGAGCCCCCAATCCGTTCAACTTTAAGAAAAAAGTCGACAAACCCTTTCCCTTTTCCTTTAGTCCCGCCTC